AACCCTAACCCTAACCCTAACCCTAACCCTAACCCTAACCCTAACCCTAACCCTAACCCTAACCCTAACCCTAACCCTAACCCTAACCCTAACCCGTGACCCAAACACGTGACCTGAACATGTGACTCGTGACGCGGACCCCGTGACCCAGACCCGAACCCCGTGACCCGTGACCCGGAACTCGTGACCTGAACATGTGACCCAACCCGAACCTGAACACGTGACCCAACCCCGTGACCCAAGCACGTGACCAGGACACGTGACACGTGACCGAACCCGTGACTCGTGACCCGTGACTTTCCCAACCAACTAACCAACCCCCGATCGAGCCCCCGGCGACGGCGGGATGGTGCCAGGGACTGCCCACGAGCATGGGGGCAACGGCGCGGACATGGCCAAACGGTTGGCGAATCCCCCAGGTCCAAATTTGGGGACAGCATGGTTCGAGATGGCTTCATGTGTGGGATCGGGGCGCCGACATCACTAGCTGGTGGCCCCACTGGGGTCGCAATCGACTGGGCTACGGATGCATCAACTCGGTTGGTCGATCTAGCCCTTCCCGGTCGCTGGGGGTCGATTGCAAATGGGGTGATTTCGTGGACACTTTGATCAACACGCCCAGGCGCATTTGGACCGACGACGGGTATCCCAGATGCCTCGGATTCACATGGGAGGCCTGGGATTGACATGAGAGACCTCGGGGGATGCTGGCTACGTCGTCGGCTTGCTTGTTGGGGTTGGGATGGACGCTGGACTCGTCACGTGATGTTGCCGGGGTTAGATTTCTGCTTGAGGCGACAGCGACAGCGGGATCAGCCCAATGAGACCGGGGATGAGTCTGGGATGGCATTCCACTGCCTGTGCGATCGTGTCGCGTCCGGTGGGAGCCAACTTGAGTGTCAGCGACTTGGAATTCGGGTCCGTGGTCACCCCCTTTTTCGGACTCGGTTGGGCGTTTGTGGGCTTGCACCGGGCGAACCTCCAGCCCCGGACGTCCCACGAGCTACCGATACACATGGCGAGACTCCTGGGTCGGTAGCCCCTTGGATGGGACGCTGGCGTGGACCCGAACAGCCCCGGTAAGCGTTGGCGGACTAAGTGAGTCCAACAATGGGATATGGGGTATATGTGCACTATCACGGGACGGGGCGAGACGCGACGAGACACCGGGGACGGCAATGACACGACGACGGTGCACCGGGAGTGGTCACGGATATATGGTGCGAGCTGGGGAATACGGTAGTCATGAGGAAATCTATTTGTGTACGTTGGAACTACTATGACCTCCAGCTACTGATATTGAACCTCCCTGGCCCCAAATGAGACTCCTGGGGACTTGTGCGATGTTCTAGTTGCCAGCGGTGTCCCCACTGATGCATAGAGAAGTCAGGGGACGGTGTTAGGGTTTGTTTGGCCCGGTCAAACATATTTGGGACTTCGGCGGTTGGACGGAGTTGTCAGACGAGTTGGGTGGCTTCTGGCGTATGGTAGACGGTCCAAAATTGATGTGCGAATCCGTACACATCCATTTTCCCATGGGTAGAACTCCCACGAGTCTGTTAGGGCGACTGGATAGACTATGAGCCGTGGTTCGATTCCACTAGACGTTGATATCAAGGTTGGCTCCTCCGGGCATTGGACACGGCCTGGATACGATCTAGACATGGCCATATGGACTTCTGGGTTGCTGGGAAGCCCTGGGGAATTATCAGGCTTGTCCCCTGAGGCCTAGCCTGTTGCCGTGATGTTCGTGCTTGACCGTCCTACCTCCGGGAGACACCGGGAGGTCCGTGACAGTTACGGGCCGATATGCCGGGGATCACGGACTCATATGGCAGTATGTAGTCTGAGTACTCCGAGGAGACACGGGGAGACACGGGGAGGGGTTCTGGGACTCTCGGAGGCACTCGGGAGCCCTGGGGGGTTCCGGAATGGGTTCGAATCCGACTCAGACAGCAGCGTGGCATGTTGATCCAAGTATCATCATCCGGACCACGGCGTCCACAGAACGAATCGGGACACATTTGATCTCCCTTGCTCCCCCTTGGTATTCCTGGCATCCCTTGGACTCCTCTGGACTTCTCTGGATACTTCTTGACACTTCTGGGTTCATTTCCATACTCCTTTGACTTGCCTGGGCTGGGACGGGTAGTCAGGTCTCTGTGCTGGCCCCTTTTACCAACGGCAGCGGTCTCTTTGTATGGGAACACCTCACATTGAGCCTGGCATATCTTGGTCAACTCTACACGAAGACTCATGCAACCATAACAAATCGATAGCTATTTGAAAGACCTATCATTTTACAGTGGTTGCATTTGATTCACGCCTCGATTCGTTGAGATATCTAGTTTCTGCCTGGGGCCGAATGGCTGGCTACAATGTGTGTTGTCTAGTACATTACGTACACCCATGTTACAATCTGGATAGGTACCCATACTTTGATCCTTGATTCCTCCACGCACACGCTTTGGCTGATGCTGCACGCATGTTTGTTCAATTTGCCATTGCAAGGGCTTTCGAATGGGCCTGGTTTGACAATTGGTGGGCCAGGAATGATGGAGCGGCGACGGGTTGAAGACTCACGATGTTTGTGGGTTGTGGTTCCATTCAGGGGCTAATTCGATACAGAAGGCTTCGGGCGCTGTGATCGCAAATCTAGCGAATGCCTAGTGGACGTTAGTGGGCATTAGCATTCCCCCGGGCGCGGGGACTAGGGGGCGTAGTGGTCTTCTAATGAGGGGTCAGACAGAGTTAGGGGATCTTCTAGGTGCCTTGGTTGGGGCTCGGGGCGCTTCATAGGGGCTGCGGGGAAGCTCTAGTGTTGGGCGTAGGGGCTTCGGGGGGGTTCTAGGTCTCTTAGTTAGGTGAGGGGTTTAGGCGATCGATAGTTGGGGTGTCTATGAGTTAGGGGGCTTCTGGGGGAGCCCTGGAGGTTGGGGAGTTAGGGGGATTGGGGGGTTCTGTCGCTGTTCGGACCCTGAAGCCATCCCCCAAAGGAGGGGCGGGAGGCCCGGCTGCGCTGGTGGGAGTTACGGGGGATGCTATAGGGGGTATTCGGGGACGTTAGGGGACGCCTGGAGACGCCTGGAGATGACCGCTATTCTCCTGTCCGAAATTTGTATGGTAAAACGGCTCTCCTGTCCAATGTACAGGAGAGCGTTCCCTGTACCTAAAATCCCGACAGGAGATCCGTTTCTCCTATCCGCGATTTTGCGGGGGATTTCGCTCTCCTGTACATTAGATAGGAGAGCGTTCCCCGCACCATAAAACGCGTACAGGAGATCCATTTCTCCTGTCGCCGATTTTGCGGGAGATTCTGCTCTCCTCTACTCGGTACAGGAGAGCGGAATTCACTGCAAAATCGCGGATAGGAGATCCCGTTCTCCTGTCGGGGTTTTTGGTGGCTCTACCCTTCTCCTGTACATTGGATAGGAGAGCCCTTTTTGCACCTTATGGCCTGACAGGAGAAACGGATGTCCTGTCGGGATTTCTGGTGGCGATTCTGTTCTCCTGTACCGAGTAGAGGAGAGCCGTTTTTGCCGCAAAATCGTTGACAGGAGGATTCGCCCACTGATCGTTCCCTGTGTTTGCCCTATTTCCAGGCTGGTTGGCGGTCGATGAGTCCCCTGGCGATTCCCTGGTGACTGCCTGGCTGCCTGAAAATCCCCTAGTAGTTCCCTGTGGTCCCCTGGCAATTCCCCCTGTCCCCCTGGCAGTTCCCTCTGGTCCCCTGATAGCCCCCAATGGCCCCTCACTAGTGATCCCCTGGTGGTCCCCTGATGACTCCCTGGAACCCCCCATATGTTCCCCAATCCCCTTACCACGACCCCTAGCCCCCGCACCACAACCTTGTCTCCAATTGATGCCACTCGAACCACGCAACTTTGACATCGTCGTCGCAAGTTTGGTGTTGACCCCATTTGGTGATGCACGTACACTCGATGCGCGATACCGATTCACAATCCAACCACGCGCATGCACATCTCAATTCCGGTATCCCCGGCATCCCCAGAGCTCGTATTGTGATCCGGTTGGTCGATTGGAGTGGTGCAGCGCCTTGTGCGTGAGCAAATCGCGATCCAGAGCATCGTGAACCTCGATCGTGCTGCTGATGCTCATCGTGGGTTTTGGGATTGCGAACTTCGCCCTCGGATATCTCGATGACGGCAACCTCTCCGCTGCGACTAGGTATATGCATCGACTCGCAGCTGAACGGAGAATTGACTGATGCAACATGCACGACGACTGCTAGCTCATACGTGGAGATGCACGAGCGGGAGTGCAACCCCTTTGTCGACGGTTGCGGTTCTGGAGATTGGTGGCTGTCTAGGAGAGGCGGGTTTAGGGGTGGGTTCGGGGGTGCTAGGTTGGTTCCGGGGCATTGTCTAGGGGCGTTTAGTGGCCGCAGCGCATTTTCCAGAAGGTAGGCCAGTCACGCAGTCACGCAGTCATCCAGTCATCCAGTCACCCAGACACTTCCCAGGTTGATATGTGACTTCGGCGCATCGTCTGGGACACATTTTGATGCTCTGGTGATGTACATTTGGATTTCGACGCATTTGGTAGTTCCAGCAGTGCTTGATAGGTTCGGTATACCGTCCAGGAGGCCTGGTGATGGCTGGGTGTCCGACGACTTCTACTCGTTGTCGAAGGGCATCGTGGTGCGTAATGGGCGCTTTGGGGCATGTCTGGGGTTCCGGATACTGAGCACTCGGTGACTTTGGAAGACCTGGGGATGCCTCAAGATTGGGTGCATCGACATATCAAAGGAATATGGCGATCCCCGATCGCTTGGCAATATTTGCGCATCGTTCAGGAACCCTCACGATGCATATGTGATCGTGCATGGTGCCTTCAACACATCATGGTGTGTTCAGGGGCTGTGATGAACTTGGCAGCTTCAGGCTTCGTTCAGGGGCAGTGGTCAGGGGCAGTGGTCAATGGCCGGGTGCTTGATAACTTCGGCGCATCCAGATCCGATGACGCCCAAAGATCGATATACCCAGAGAGGATAGTAATCTCCAGTCGTCTAGGGACATTTGCGCATCATCCGAAGAACCCTATGACGCTTGGGTGCTTGTGCATCGTCGTTCCAACATGCAGGAGTCGTGATATTCAGGCGTGACTCTCGGGCGCCTGGCGATGGTTGGTGGGCTAGCGGCTTCAGGGCTCGTTTAGGGGGTGTTGTTCTTAGGGTGATAGCGGCCTCGCATTTCGTAGGACCAACACATTACTCGGGCCTGGCGATGCTCCAAAACATGGTGCATCAGTCTATCCAGGGGGGATAGTAATCCTTAGTCGTTCATGAGCATTTGCGCATCGTCCAAGAGTCCTAGTGAGGCTCGAGTCGTGGTGCATCGTCACTTCAACATGCAGACACCGTGATGTTGAGGAGTTCGGTTTCGGGACACAGGGCACATCAGTGGTGGTTCTTAGGGGACAGGTAGGCCATGATGGGCGGGCACTTGGTGATTTTAGGGGGGTGGTGCTTGGGGGGGTACCCGTCATGATGGAATCGGCTACTTGGGCACTTCGTAGCATCACCGCACTATCCAGGCCTCGCGATGCCCAAAGACTTGATGCATCGACACGTTTAATGAGGCATGGTGTTGCTCAGTCATTCAGCATCATTCGCGCATCATCCAAGAGACCTTGCGATGCTCGCATGCATGAGATTTGTGACTTCAAACATCAGGGACATGATATTCAAACGTTTGGCTTCAGCACATTAGCGTGGTGGCTCTTGGGCGCTTAGGGGTTTCGGGGCATCATTCAGGGGGGCTAGTCGTGGACACACACTTCGTAGCATCGGCAACTTGCCCGGACCTGTTGACGCCCACGAACTTGATGCATCGACATATTGAATGAAGAATGGTGTTGCTCAATCATTCAGCATCATTCGCGCATGATCTGATTGATGCCCAGATGCCCAGATGCTTGACCTTGATGACTCCAAGGGAATGAGTCACGAAGGTGGCATAGTTGGGTCCGGGGCATTGGCGGGGTTGGGCAATTGGATAGTGGCTTCAGCGCATTCGGGGTGGTGCTCGAATCCATTGGACGTTCGGTAGCCTCAAGGTATCAGAGGGGACAGGCAATGTCCAGGGCTTTCAGTTGGCGGCGGGGTTCTAGTCGGGGGCCGCAGCTTGCCCCTATATCCCCTATGGCATGCGGCGGTTAGAAGGGTCGAATGGCCTGTCAGGATTTTAGGTGCGGAGAATGCTCTCCTGTACTTTGTACAGGAGAGCCGTTCTGCCATAGAAATTTCGGACAGGAGAAATGGATCTCCTGTCGGCGTTTTTGGTGCGGGGAACGCTCTCCTATCCAATGTACAGGAGAACGGTTTAACCACCAAAATCGAGGATAGAAGATCCGGATCTCCTGTCGGGATTTTGGGTGCGGGGAACGTTCTCCTGTACATTGGATAGGAGAAGGATTTCCCCCGCAAAATCGGCGACAGGAGATTCGAATCTCCTGTCGGGAAATTGTATGGTAAAATGGGTCTCCTGTCCAATGTACAAGAGAGGGTTCCCCGCACCTTAAATGCCGACAGGAGATCCGTTTCTCCTATCCGGAATTTTGCTGGGGATTGGGCTCTCCTGTACATTGGATAGGAGAACGCTTTTCCCCGCCAAATCCGCGACAGGAGGATTTCAGCCCCTGGAGCCCGCTGAGGAGAAAGCCCTGGAGTTCCCCTAAGATCCCCAAGGCCGCCAAGTCCCCTAAGGACCCCTTAAGCCCCCATGGCCGAGCCGGGGCGATTAGGGACCTTGCCCCCTGAAATCTCTGACACCCCCGACACCCCTAACACACCTAACACCACTATGGCTGGAATGATTAGGGGCCTTCCAGGAACCACCTAGGAGCCCTGTATCAATCCCCGTGCCCTCCCCCCCAATCCCCATCCCCCATCCCCCATCTTCCATCACCACCACTGAGCCCAGAGCAATTAGCGACCTGCTAGCGACCCCTAGGGACCTTCTAGGGACCTTCTAGGGCCCTGTATCGACCCCCCAATCCCCCTGTAGTCCATGTCCAGAGTCCCCCAGCGGGTTGACCCCCTACCCAAATGGTTTCCAGTCCCTTTGACACCCGATCTTCGTAATCGAATTGCCCTCCCATGCGAGACCGTGGGATTCATCGGATGTGATGCAATTGGAGGGATTCGCTAGCTCTATCAATCAGTAATCCATTCGACTCCTCCCCTTGTGCCCGGGAACGTCGGGGTGCGGTTGAAGTTAAGGGTGATTCTGGATCGCTTTGAGGCGTGTTCGAGGATATTGTATTGGATTGTCTCGACTTGTGAGCGTGGGATTGATCAATTGGACCATGCGAGGGCGGGGATGGATAGTGGGAGGACGTGTCTATCGATGCCCAGTGTCGTCGGAGCGTCCCGGCGACCCATGGAGGAGATGCGGGCGGATGATCCAGGCTATGCATACGGGGACAAGAGTCTTGATACACTTTTCGACGTGCATCCATCCCCAGAGACGTCCGTATGCATCCGGAACTGCCTGGCCCTAACCGGAATGACTATCTCTAGTGTCCCCCTTTCGATCTGGGGCTTCCCCTTGCCGTGAGCGGATATCGTGAACCTCGCTGTCGCTCCCGGACAGCTTGATATGGTCGATGCACGGGGATATGCGGGTTCCCTCGTAATCCTACTGCCCTCTGCACTCTCCAGCGGCCCGTGCATCCTGTGTGTTGGCCCGGGAGACTCGTAATAGTATTTCGCTTCTCCAGTACCGATATTCTCTCATTGTGACATCCAGGCAGTTGCCATGATAGCCTCGTCTTCTGTGTGAGTCTGTGGCCATGGCTTCGGCTCGTTTCTGTCGATGCATCCAGCCCCCGGGGTCATTCATCATATCGTCACATCGTCACACCGCCAGACGGCAGCCTCTTACCACGATCACGACCACGACGAGGCACTGTCACTGGACAGGCAACGCACACGAACCTGAATGGGTCAGATCTTGCCCTGCCTCTTCCTAGAGCCGTATCGCCCGGATTCACTGTAGGCCATACCGGCAACGCATCCAGACCCGTTGCCTCGAGATGCACACTCTGCAACTTCCCAGGCATCCTGCTGCACTGCTATCGTTGCTCCAAGGCCATAGCTCGACACCCCGAGTCAGCCTTGCCCTCGACATGGCTGTATCAGCTTTCACTAGCCTTCACTGGCCGGCACTGACCGACACAGCTCAGTGATCGATGCAACCTCCTGGGTCTTACACCGCTTGATGTGACTACTCTAGATTAACCAGCTAGCCGCCATGGGAGGTGGGAGGCGTGCATTCCCCTTGATCGTGAGCTTGTGCGGGTGTCGAAATCGTGATGTCGTCCAAATTAGAATCTGACATGTTTGTGTGTTGCCTGGACAGGCCTAGGTCTCCCTGTGATCCGCCGTTGGCCAGGGACCTCCCTCGATGCTGTTGCTCGGACCTTATTGCGAACAGATCTTGAGATCCAGCTTTTCCTATTTCGGGTACAGACGACCGTGCACGAGCAAGGGAAGCTCCAGGGACGTCATGGACGTGAACTGGATGGTTTCTGGAGTGCCAGTCGATTGCACAACGAAATTCACCCCGTTTTGATAGTCCGTGAATTCCCCCTTTTCGTAGCTCACGAGTGACCAGCCCATTAGTCATGGTATTGCCTCCAGCATTGGACCCGTGAGTTTGGCAACCTCTGGCAACCTCAGGGGCACTTGAATTGATACGGCCGTACCATCCCAGTTGCTCCCAATTCACTTGTGACAGATCTAGAGCTTTTGGAAGTGCCTGTGAGGTCACGAACGGTTTCTCATGGTGACCACAACGACCCAGGATCCAGGGGGAGGCATATGTGTCCATCAGATTTGGTCTTAGGGTCTAATTCTTCATATCTCGAATTCGAATTTCGTCTCGGGAACCCCTCTGGGATTGCTCTGGAGTGCGTCGTCAACTCGCCACGGGGTTCCTGGTCTCTGGTGGCTTGATGTGATCCCTTCTTGGTCATCTGGATACAACTGCTCGAGATTTGTTGCCGAGCTAAAAATCTCGGGAATTGGACTTTCGTATTTGCCCTAGGTTGTTGTATTTGCCCTAGGTTGTTGTATTTGCCCTAGGTTGTTGTATTTGCCCTAGGTTGTTGTATTTGCCCTAGGTTGTTGTACTTGCCCCGCAGGCCCTACGGATGCCGCGGTGGCACTCGTAGCAAGTAGGGGCCACGATTCCGAAGTAGAGTCACTTGGAATACGGATCTACCAAGATTTCAAAATTGCTTGGGACTGGTCCGATAGCAGAATTCTACCCAAATGACAGCACCAAGTGAAATGGCCACTGCTGAAGAGTGCTGATTGGACAATTTCGACTGGGCGAGCTTCCAGATGCAGCTAGGGTATCGAAATATATGTCATCGGCTCAGATTTGCCAGATACAAATTAGATGCAATTTCACCCCAGAGAGGTCCAGCGATGGCTCCGGATACGTTTCAGACGTCAGGGATACGGCTAGTAGACTTCGCAACTAGTTTCCATGGCTCTCCCGTCCCTTGTATACACATTGTCAACATCCAATGTCCAAACCCAGCCAGACCTGATTATGAATAGGTGAATGGGAAGCTGTATAGTAGGATTCAAGTGACAAAGATAGGCCCAGAATGATCTAAATCGAGTGAGGGAGATGCTAGGATAGTTGAGGGGG